CTCATATGCTAAACCCTTTTTGCACAGTCTTCGGTTTGTGGAAGAAAATGCTGCGGTCCCAAATGTAAAGTGCGAGCAACACGGAAAGACAGTCTTTGTTTCCAGTGCTAGTCCACGTGCTTCCTGAGTCCACAAAACCTTCACGAAAATCTATGTAATCTAAATAGTAGAAAAGAATACCAACTTTTATTTTATTTACAGATGAAAAACCAAACAAGTCAGTATGAAAGCCTGTAATCCTTTAATGCCATAAAACTTCCAATAAAAGCATCACATAATGTGGGCGCCTGGGTGGCTCAGTCGGTTGGGCGGCTGCCTTCGGCTCAGGTCATGATCCTGGAGTCGCGGGATCGAGTCCCGCATCGGGCTCCCTGCTCGGCGGGGAGTCTGCTTCTCCCTCTGACCTTCTTCCCTCTCGTGCTCTCTCTCTCCCATTCTCTCTCAATAAATAAATGAAAATCTTAAAAAAAAAAAAATCACATAATGCACTGTATTTCCACGTAACCAAAACAGTAAAACAAACTTGTCTTGAGAATCAGATTATTTGAAAAGCTTTCCAAAAATTCAGTTCAGGGATTATTATCCAAAAGTTTTTTTGGGTTTGTGTGTATGTATAGGTGTGTGTTATTTTTAAAGAGTGAGAACAGCTTAGGTCAATGCTCCCTTTTCAGGTTATTTGCAACATTTTTTATTTTTTTAAAAATCTTATTCATTTGAGAGAGAGAGAGCACAAGCAGGGGGAACAGTAGAAGGAGAGGGAGGAGCAGGGAGCCCAATGCGGTACTCGATCCCAGGACCCTGGGATCATGATCTGAGCTGAAGGCAGACGTTTAGCCAACTGAGCCACTCAGGCGCCCCTATTTTCAACATCTTTTTTAATTTACCACATAAACATGGTAAGTATCTCTGCTTTGATTTATTAATTTTTTATTGTTATGTTAATCACCATATATTACATCATTAGTTTTTGGTGCAGTGTTCCATGATTCATTGTTTGTTCATAACACCCAGTGCTCCATGCAGAACGTGCCCTCCTCAATACCCATCACCAGGCTAACCCATCCCCCTACCCCCTCCCCTCTAGAACCCTCAGTTTGTTTTTCAGAGTCCATCATCTCTCATGGTTCGTCTCCCCCTCTGACATACTCCCCTTTTCTTCCTCTCCTGTTTTGAAAAAAGGATTAAAACAGTATTCAGTAGAATATGACAGCAGATTTTATGTTCTCTGCTTTTATAAGTTTTTTCTTGCCTCTTCAACAGTAGGCATTCAATTAGAAAACCCTGCATATTCTCCACACCCACTTTTTAGTGATTTTTTCCATATTTCTAGTAGATAGCAGTATGTTGTTCCCATGACCAGAACAAATGGTGTTTGTAAATCTGAGAAGAGGCTCTGTTACATCAAGAAGATAAGATTTCTCCATGAATGGCAGGTAGAACATCCCCCTACACACGCGCACACACATGCACATCACGCAACATCTGTTACTGAGCCAATCAACTCAAAAAGCTCCAGGAAACACAGCACACTCCAAGCCCCAAATGGTCCTGTGTCCTTTTAGCTCCACTTGCAGCCCATTTTTATGGCTGCTGGGGCAGAACAAGGCCCAGCTGGAGCATCTTGTCCAAATCTATGACCTCAGCATGACATCTCCACAGTAAACATGGCTGGCCCCTCTTGGGTATCTGCAGAACGGTGCCCGTCCCCCCTTCGCCTGGTACAGTTATGTCACCTGAAACCCACACCCTGACTTCATTTGGAAGGCCAGTCTAAACCTACGGGGTCTGTGGCTACCTCTTTTTAAAGTTGTTCAGTGTAATTTGCTTGTTGTCGCACTTTAGTTAAAACTGAGTCTCGCATGTAAGGACTGACCTTAACCTTCGAGATAACCCCAAATGGCCTTGCTTAGAGTGCGTTAAAGAATTTGAAAAGTGATGATTCCATAAATGCAGTGGCTTGTTATCCTTACATTCTGTCTTATACCCTCTTCTCCCTCTCTCTGGGTCACCCCACTGCTGTCACTGTTAATATTAGGTGCCAAGGACTCATTGAATAAAAACTTGGCAATTAGAATAAATGGGGGAGGGTAGGGGGGTTATGAATTGTCCACTGCCTAGCCCAAGAAATGGCAGACTTAGTTCTTTTCCAGAAGAGAGAGGCATTTCACTGGAGCTGTACTTAATTTATACATGCTTTAAAAACAAATAGTCTTTTATAGAGTACTAACAACAAAGAAATACAGCAACTGGTTTATGTTTCAGTTGGCCCTGTTTAACTGAACACTTGGAGACTGGAAGAAGCATCTTCAGAGAAAACTTGAATCACTTAATAGCATTTGTATTCTTTGCCTTTTTAAAGTTAAACATTTTCCAACTTGATGAAATCAATGACTTCATGTAAATTCAACATCAAGGTTTGAACTCCGTACTAGATACCTGTCTCTTTTTTATTTAAAATTTAGTTGACACTCCTCTCACCATGTGCCTTGGGCAGTTACTAAGATAACTGACTTCTCAATTATTTCTTGGAAATACGAGCTGCTGTGGGAAGAATTTTAATGTTCGACATCATGGTGGAGTTTTGCTTTGTCTCTTGAAACATTAGAAGCATTTTAAAGATTAAGAATCAAATATAAACAGTCTGTGTTTTCAGCATCACAGGGGACCTCTCTGTTTACCGGTAGTAATGTGTGCGATATACATATTAGTAACTTGCCAGAGCGGACAAGCATATTCCCTCCATGCCTTCTCCCTGGATCATGTAGCTGCTGTTAGCTTTGTGGCACCTGGACAGCAGGTGAGACCCAAAGGTAAATAGATTGTTTCTCCCCTTTCCATGGAGCATGTCCAAAGCCGTTTCTTCCCTTGATTTTCCCATACTTGAAATTTTCAGGCTTTTGTAAAAACAAGACAAAAGACAAAACTAGGAACTTGGAACACTTAGGAAAAATTAACCCTGCTACCGTCAATTCACCACTCTTTACAGCCTTAATGCATTAGGCTTATAGAAAATAAATTAGAATTCATTTCTTTTGCCTAGAATATATGTAATTGTTGTCATACGTTTGACCTTCTAGGGGGCAAGCGTATCCTGAATTGAAGCTCTTTTCTCCTGCCTACGGGACTGAATGGTCATTACAGTGTGACAGCATGGGGCTGGACTCTGTCTTTTTCCTCCTAGAATATTCCTCTGCAGTCAGTTTCTCTAATTTCCTGCATGGGTCAAATAGCCAAAATTCAGTTTTTTTGCACATACTGGTGCCATAATTAGAGAATTAGGGGACATAGAAAAATTAGAGGTTAATGGCAATGACAAATATAGGACTTTTTTTCTCTTATTAAATCGCTACTAAAGATTGGTTTTCCTAAAGAAATTTCTAATTCTAATAAAGGCGATCAATCAAAAATGATTTTAAGCTACTTTCTAAAATGATATTGTATCAGAAATAACCCAGATTTGGATATAACATTTTGCCAACAACTATTGTTTAGATGAAAGTCTGCTTCTCCGAAGAGGGTTCACATCATATTCCGGGGTGAATCTAACATTGTAAGAAGAAATACTACTGGTAAAAATATTTTTTCACTTTGAACAAATCTGTAAACTATACCTTTGTTTATAGAAAAAATGCTTGTATTAGTTACTATAATATTCAGCTGTGGATAAAAATTTGTGGAAATAAATACTTTTGAATGAAGTAGTGTGCCAAATCTAAGTGAAATTTAAAACTCTGCAGCTATACATTGGCTGGAAAGTTTATTTTTAATGCCTGCTTGAGAACTTCATTCTAGGACCTACATTCAAACATGTATCATGATCATTTAAACCAGGAGTGGGCAAACTTCCGCTTGCAAGTTGGGGGTGGGGGGAAAACTTTCCCTGTAAAATAACAAGACTTACTGAGCAATTACTTCAAAGCTGCAGAATTCAAACACAGTAGTTTGGTATAGGAAAAGATGAGTAGATCAGTGGCCTGGGACACAGAGCCCAGAGACCGACTCAATCGGAGGTGTAACCTTGCATATGGCATAAGAAAAAAAAAATGGAAAACATTTACAAGATCTGTATGGAGGAGTTTAGGAGTTTATAACATAAGTGAAACATTGACAACCTGGAGAAATTATATCACGTTTACAGATAAGAAGACTCAAATACCACAAAACTGTTGTCGGTTGTCTCCAAGCTGATCTACATAAAGAATAAAAAAATCTCCACAGTTTTTTTTGGGGGGGGAGAATTGACAAGCTAATTCTAAAATTGATATGGAAGTGCAAAGACCCAAGGATAAGGAAGACCTTCCTTAAAGGGAAAACTTTCCTAACAAGTATCAAGGCTTACTCTAAAGATGGGAGATGTGTGGAAATGGCCCAGACCAGTTGGCCAATGCAACACAATAGAAAGCCCAGAAACAACATATATACAGAAACATGGGTAGGCTGTTTCTTACCTGCAGGAGCACACACCAAAATCACCTGGAAATCTTTAAAACCTAGGTCACCAGCCCCACCTGTAGGTATAGGATAAAGCTTCTCCAGGGATGGTGCCCTTAAACATCCATCACGAGGAACCACAGTGAAATACTTCATGGCACAGAAATACCGGTCAGTGAAAGGTACCTCTAAAACCCAACTTCCATGGGACGCCTGGGTGGCTCAGTCAGTTGGGCATCTGCCTTCGGCTCAGGTCATGATCTTGGGGTCCTGGGATGGAGCCCCACATTGGGCTCCCTGCTCAGCGGGAAGTCTGCTTCTCCCTCTGCCCCTACCCCCTGCTCATGTGCACGCGGGCTCTCTCTCTCTCTCTCTCTCCAAAACCTTAAAAAAATAATAAAACCCAACCTCCAACCTAAGTAGGCTGGGCAGCTGATAGAAGAATAACCTCACTCTTCAGGAAAGCCTTCACCTCATACCCAGAGAGGTCTAGGCTTACAGTCAAGGCGTCAGCAGAAAAACTGTCTGCGAAGAGTCAAACTTCATACAAAACACACTTAACTACTTACAGCTGAGAAAGCAAAGAAGCCCAACATCCGGGACCGGATCTGGCACTTAGGGCGAGGCCGGGTGGTGTGAGAAGCTGGACTGGCCCTCCCAGCCAGGCCAGGGTGTCCTCCCCTGGTGCCCAATCTCACAAAAATACCAACATCAGGCAAGGTTGCTCTGTGCCTGTGATGAAATGAGACAACACAAGAGGACTTGATAGTTTTGTCTAAGGACAGAGACAAGACCACCTGCAAACCACTCAATCCCAACCCTGCCCTCTCCCAGCTAATAGCAGTGAATGCAACCTCACCAGCAGCCGGGCTAATCTAGCTCGGATCTGCCTCCTCCTAGACAGGATTTCCAAAGACTTGTCCCTACTTCCAGACAGCACCCAACCCAGAGTGAAGCCCTGCTTTTCTGGACCCTCCCCAAGTCACCTAAGCAGCTCCTAACATCCTCTCACTGAGCTGCCTCTCCGTTCCCCAAGCTGTGCCCCCGGGAGTAGTCTCCCTGTTGAGGCCTGTATTAAAAGCCCAAACAGAGTAAACAGAAAATGAGGAAGTTCAGCAAATCGGTGTTTGTTTTGGTCTACATTTCATCTCTGTTGAGCTTGTTTCGTAACTTGAACTTTCTGAAGAGTAGGTATTTGTTGTAAGGGCAAAACCCCACCCAAGCTAATAATCGCCTTTTTAATTATCAAAGACTGAAGTTATCCCCAAAGCAAATTAACAGTGAGCACATCCGTAATTTTCCAAACTACTCAAGATTCAGTAAACTCGCTTGTCTCATTCATTCAAATTCATATACTCACTTTTAAAAATTGTCCTAGCTTCTACTGACTTCACCAGCTTTCCTGTTTCCAGTACTGAAACTTCTAAAGCCACTGCTGCTTAAGCTACCATCAATTTTGAGTGCTATAGAAAGTTTAAGCATAGGAAAATTATCCAGAAAAAGTGGGAGATAAGGCTGAGCCTTGATATTTCTGAAATCCTAATGAAATCATACTAGAACTTACAGATTTACAATAGAGTCGCTGCCTTCAGTTTTATGCTAATTCTACTTTTTTCCCAAAAAATAAGTACAGAAAGAAATAATACATTTTAAAAGAAGTACCAAAAGCAGGGCACCTGGGTGGCTCAGTTGGTTAAGCGTCTACCTCAGCTCAGGTCCGCATCCCAGGGTCCTGGGATGGAGCCCCGCATCAGGCTCCCTGCTCAGTCGGCTTCTCTCTCGGCCGACCCCCAACCCCTCCCCCGCTTCTGCAAGCCGGGAGAGGCTTGTGTGCTCTCTCTCTGAAATAAATAAATAAAATCTTTAAAAAAAATACTGTAAGTCAAATGTCCAAAAGTAATGACTTCACATCTTATGAGGTTTCACATCTAAGAAAAAAAAATTATAAAATAACTGCTATACATAGGGTGTAGTGCGATATATAATGGTTATATGGTTAAACATGAAAAGGACTACATATTTTAGGAAATAATTTGCTTCAGATAATTTTGAGGTTTACTTGAAATATACTTTTTCTCTCATTCTTATATTGAGAAAGTTAAAAACCTACAGAAACGTTATAAAAGTAGAACAATAAACAACCATATACTCCTCATTTAGATTCTCTAATGGTAATATTTTGCCATATTTGTTTTCTCTCTTTCTCCACCAGGGTATTTATATGCATTTTTTTTTCTGAGTCATTTGAAAATGCAGACATCATGACTCTTCACCATGCTCATACCTAAGAATAAAGGACCATTGCCCACATTACTATTAACATAATCAGGAAAAGTTACATCAATACAACTATCTCATATAACTGATATTAAAGTTCCCCCAAATGTCCCAATATTATTCTTTAGAGTTGCTGGTTTTTCTTTTGTTTTGTTTTGTTTTGTGGTTGTTGTTAATCCAGGTTTCAGTGAAAGATCCTACATTAAATGTAATTGTCATTCTCCAGCTCCTTTTATCTGATACCATTCCCAGGCTTTTTTTGTTTCTCACAACATCAACACTTTTGAAGAGTTTAGGTCAGTGGTTTTGCAGAACATTCCTTAATTTGGATTTGTCTGAAAATTTCCTTAGGATGAGATTCAAGTCAGACATTTTTTTAGGTGCAGTTGTGTCTCCAATGCCTTGAGGGGGTGCATGGCATCAGTTTGTCCCATTATTGGTAATGTGAAGCTTGGTCATTTGGTTAGGGTGGTAATAGTCCCAAGATTTCTCTATTGTAAAGGTACGTTTTCCTCTTCGTGATAATCTGAGACTACGTAAAATGTCTTTACATATATTTACATGTTTTTATATGTGTAAACAGTTTACCAAATGGTTTTAGGATCCACCCACTTTGGTGACATTTCTAATTAGAGACAACTTAGTAAATTTGGAGGGACTAGCTGCCAGTGATTTGCGGGGTATTGGGTGGGAGATTGTGATACTTACTAATGGTATCTTAATAAATATGTGAAAGGCAAATTGAATAGAACCTTCCTTCTCCTATTAAAGGACACTATATCCCTAACCACTACTTGTACAGACCAAGAATTTTCTCTGTATGTGAACTATTGAAAATTTTAATGAGCCTTCCGGAACAAGATGGCGGAGGAGTAGGAGACCTGGATTTCGTCTGGTCTCAGGAATTCAGCTGAATAGGGATCAAACCATTCTGAACACCTACGAACTCAACGGGAGATCGAAGAAGAGAGTAGCAACAACTCTCTGAACAGAGAAGGATCACTTACTGGAAGGTAGGACGTGCGGAGAAGTGAATCCGAGGCGATATTCGGGAGGAGAGACGGCGGGGAAGGGGCCTCCGTCGGCTGCTTCTGGCAAGTGATAGAGCCGCGGAGCACAAAATCGGACCTTTTAGAAGTCGGCTCCGCGGAGGGACGTCGCTCCAGTGGCTAAGCGGGGGTGGAACCCTCACGGGACAGTGTGGTCTCAGGACCCTCGGGGTCACAGAAAGACCGGGGGTGCCTGAATGCGGCAGAGCTCCCAGGTATCGGAGCAGGGAAGCCGGCTGCAGAGACGGAGCCGAGGCGCGGGCTCTCAGCTCGGGGTGGCCATAAACTGTGATCTGCGGCCCAGTCGGGCCGCTGCTCCTCCAGCAGGGACCCAACAAGCGGCAGAGCCGGGGAGACTCCCCTTCCTCCCCCGGGAGGAGCGGCGCGGGAGCGCACCGCAGGGATCTGCTGGGTTTGGAGACTCCACACGGGGTCGGGTGCCAGAGATAGAAACGCTCGGTCACAGGCCGGGTGAGCACGGAGTGCGGCCGGAGACCGGGGAGATGGGAGTGATTCACTGCTTTTCTCTGGGGGCGCACTGAGGAGCGGGGCCCCGAGTTCTCGGCTCCTCTGGGCTGAGATTGGGAGGCCGCCATTTTCACTCTCGTCCTACAAAGCTGTACTGAGAGCTTGCAGGGAACAAAAGCTCCCGAAAGCAAACCGGAGCAGCTTGCTTAGCCCGGACCCACAAGGGCGGGGCAATTCCGCCTCCGGCAAAGACATTTGGGAACCACGGCAACAGGCCCCTCCCCCAGAAGATCAGCACGAACAGCCAGCAAGCCAAGACCAAGTTTACCGATCAAGGAGAACGGGAGAACTCCAGCGCTAGGGGAATACTGCACATGGAATTCATGGCTTTTTTTACCATGATTCATTAGTCTTTCAAAGTTAATTTTTTTTAACAGTTAACTGTTTCTTTTTTTTTGAAATTTTTTTCCCTTTTTTAACCAACATCTTATCAATCCCTTTTTTAAAAAATATTTTTATTTTTCATTTTTAGAGTCTTCTATTCCTTCATAGTAGTTACCCTTATTTTTGGCATATATATATAAGTTGTTCTCTCTTTAAAATTTTGAGATACAGTTTCT